ACTGACATGCAGTGCGGTAGGTTTGAGCTACGTACTTGGGAGTGCTGCTGGCTAGGGGTACACGCCGGTGGCCAGCCCAAATTCATGGGCAAAGCCTGAGTGATGGAAGAAGTTTCAGGATGGCTCAGCGATTAGGGCAAAATCTTTGCTACACGTGCAGTGCTATGTGCATGTGCATCGGGAACCATCATCACTGCATGTGCATGATCCCAGCACCCTATCCTAGCCAGGTCCTTCATGGGCTGTGATGGGGAAGCTTACTTGGACCTGTCACGACAAGGACAGGAATTCGACTCTGGTTTGGGATGAACCCTAAACCCTATTATAAGACCCTGTGTAAACCTCTATACACCTATACCTCCTTAAAATCTCAGATAAACCCCAAACAACATACATGTAGTTGAATGCATTCTGGGCAGGATCTCTGGACCCTGGACTACCGCACCATTCTGTTCCTCAGCCTGAACATTGCCCTTTCAAGGCACATCCTCCTTTATCCCCAAACTCGATCTCCTGGCCTTGGCTTGCTCGTCAGGCTGGAGCGGCCGCTGTTGCTGGGAATCTCGATGAGCAGGCCTGCCAGTTGGATAGGATCGATCATTGCCATATAGCAGTGTACTTCTAGAAATCGGCATGCCGGGGAGTCTTTGATGATCTTCTTGTTGCCTAGTCGTTTGAATAAGAACATGGTTTCCTCCTATGTAACCCACTGCCCTCCGAACTGCAACAGGTGAACGAAGATGGCTGTTGCACGGCGTGCTGCTGGGAGAGGCTCTGCCCGACCGGACTCTTTTGTGCGCTTCGGTTTGTTCGCTCCGTGCAAGTTTGTGCAATTTGCTGTGTCGGCAGTGTTGTAGTGGCTTCGAAGTGCTAGCTAGCTCCAGATCTCATGTACCCCCATTAAAACACCAACCCTAAACCCCTTACTTATAATAGACCCTATAAACCCTAGAGGGTTTTAGTGTTCTACAAAATCCTATGTAAACCCTATAAAGCTATAATGTATATATATATATGTATACATGTATATATATATATATACATATGTATATATGTATATACCCTAAATTATGTCAGTTATATGATTCAATTGCCTACAAGCCACTAAACCTCTAAGCCTTCAGTATATAGCCCTAGCTTCCCTCCAACATCCTATAGAAACTTTTGCTCTGAGCCCAAAACCTGTACTGGTGCAATGGATGCTCAGCAGCTGCCCGATTCGTCTTTGCTGGTGCGGCTAGTACATGTTGGAGCTCCGAAGGCTTCTTTGCATGAAGCTTTTTGCCAGGATCTATCCCATAAGCATCCGAATCATCCCGAACCCTATAAACCCTAAAGCTATCCCTATAGGTATAATATTGACCCTATAAACCCTATATAAACCCTATAAACCCTAAACCCTAAACCCTATAAACCCTATAAGCCCCAACCTTCGTTCTGCTGATTGCCTAGGTACTGATAGCTGTGATGCTGCTGCTGCTATGGTCGACGAATCTACCGCAGGCCAAGTCGTTTGATCTTCTCGACCTGTTTTCCGGGGTCGGCAATGCCAGCAAATACTGGAGCCTAGACTTTGACAAGTTTGTTTCGGTTTCTTCATAATAATGGGTTACTGTGGGTTGCTTAAGAGTTTGGTTATCGGTTCAGGGGTGTGTCTTAGCTGCTACCCAGGAAGTCCATGGGAAAGACAGTTGCGACTATTGAGATTGATCAGAGCGCCTCCATGGATTTTCTCTCCGATGCTGGCTTTTCGTAGCTTGGCCAAGCCTTGGCTGTAGATTTACTCATGTTGCAAAGTCACAATCTAAGGCTTGTGTTGTGGTGCATTACTCGAGAGAAGAAGACGGCTGTGAACTTGATGGGGCCGTCGTGTTCCTCCTGGGGGGTGCCCAACAGAGGCACAAGTCTCAGATCCTTTATAAACTTCCGGGGTCAGGAAGCCTACGCAAGCGTGTCGTCAGCGAATGTGATGATCAGCCGGACTCTAGCTGCAAGTATGTGTGCATGTGTGTGTCACACATGTTTCATGCACATTTAAGAGAGTGTGCTTCATCAGTGTTCATCTAAGTGTTGTTCTGGCGATATTGGTGATGACGGCCATGCACACTACATGGGTATTGGAACACCCTTCCTGCTCGCTCCTCCACAAGCACAATCGCTTTGAATGGCTCGTCAATTCTGTACTCTATGCGACTTGGTCATATTCTACAGCATTGTCCTATAGATTTCGAAAACCAACTAGACCTAAAGTCAGGTATACGGCCAAGCCTTCTGGCTGATGCATTGGGGTAGTGCCTCTCCAAAGCGGACGAAGATCTATTCCAATTCACCCCGGATCCAGACCCTGGACCGTGGTGTGCTCAAGAAAAAGCACAAAAAAGCCAAAACCACAATCCGCACTACTCGACCTTTAGCTGCAAATATGGTTTGGGGCTGGCATAGGAAAACCTCGACCTCATCCCTTTCTGCCAAAGGACGGTGGATGGACTCTGATGGTGTCGAGCGCTTCGCGGGAACGAGCAGCCTCAAGGATGCCGGGTTGCTAGGCATGTGAAGATTCTCCAGGGAAATTAACTAAACCTACCCCATAAAGAACCCTATATACCCTAAAACCCTAAAACCCTATAAAGCCCTAAAGCCCTAAACCCTAAAACTTATAAAACCCTAAACCCTGAACCCAGGCCTGCACGCTTGCGAGGACCCAGAGTTATTGGCCCTGAAGCCCTATACCCCCACAAACCCCAAAAGCCCAAAGACCTGCCCTGTGGCAGAGGCAAGTAACTGTAAGCTAGTGGTTTAGTTTATGAGAAAAGTTCTAACAGGTTCATATTGGGTTTCTGAATACACCGGTTTTGCTGCTGTGCTACTAGGACTATACTGCTGCTACTGCTACTGCTCTTCTTCCTGCTGCTACTACAACTCCCCACGAGATCCAATAGTTCTACATAAAGAGTATGAGTAATGGAGCTTACAAGGCCCAAATAGATCTCACAATCGCAAGCCTTTTTATATCTCGTTCAATGGTAAACATATATATATATATAGACTCTAGAGAAGGTACTACCAACCTGGCTAGGGGGCTGGCTTCCGGATCGTGGCTTAGGTGTGACCACAAGGGCATCCATCCACCATTGGGATAGTACTTGTCCTCCCGCCACTGCTGTAGGACCACTTGTTGGGTCTGGCTTTCACGGCTCTGATGGCCAGGGTCGACCGGGGTCGTGCTGTGTTGAAAGCCCGGTACTCTTCGGACTCAGATAAGTTCCGCATCGTTTCGACGCGCTTTGGCTTCTGATTCTGCCAAACTTTAGGCATGCCACGTTTTGAGAGAATCATCCGTTCAAGCAGGCCCATCATGCTCTAGCTTTTCAATCGAGCTCCTACAAAGCCCATCTTGATTGTGTACGACTAGAACCCACCCATGCAGGACTCTGAATGCACTGTGCAACCTCATGCAAAGTCTGTCTATCTAAAAGGCACAGTGTCCTCCCGGGAACCCAATAGGCTTAAGCTTAAATAGTTGTAAGGCCAGAAACTGTTCCAAACACCCAACCCCAAAGCTGTACCCTGGCAACTCCGGTCCTCACAAAGACCCT